TGGTGCTGGAAAATCTGGATAGCCATGTGCAGAATGGAAGTCGATCCCTATCTTTCACTGTATACAAAAATCAAGTCAAAGTGGTTTAAAGTCTTGAGCCAGTGCGGTGGCTCACTACCTGTAATGCCACCACTTCGGGAGGTTGAGGTGGACAGATCATGAGGTCAGAGGATCGAGACCATACTGGCCAACATAATGAAACCCTGTCTCTACTAAAAATACAAAAATTAGCTGGGCATGGCAGCACGTGCTCGTAGTCCTAGCTACTCGGGAGGCTGAGGCAGGAGAACTGCTTGAACCCGGGAGGTGGAGATTGCAGTGAGCCAAGATCGCGCCACTGCACTCCAGCCTGGTGACAGAGCGAGATTCCATCTAAAAAATAAAAAAAAATTAAAAAAAAGCAAAGTGGTTTAAAGTCTTAAATCTAAGACCTGAAATTATGAAGCCAGAAGAAAAACCTGAAAAATTACTCCAAAACATTGATGGGGCAAAGATATTCTGTGTAAGACTAAGACCTGAAATTATGAAACCAGGAGAAAAACTTGAAAAAATGCTCCAGAACATTGGTTTGGGGCAGATATTTTGTGTAAGGCCTCAAAAGCGTAGGCAATCAAAGCAAAAATAGACAAATGGGATTACATCAAGGTAAACAGCTTCTTCTGCATAGCAAGGGAAACAATCAAAGTGAAGAGATGACCCACAGAATGGGAGAACATTCTTACAAGCTACCCAACTGGCAAGAGACTAATAACTAGAATATGCAAGAAGCTCAAACAAGTCAATGGGAAAAAAATCAAATGATCCCATTTCTAAACAGGCAAAAGTTCTGAATAGACAGTTTTCAAAAGATGGCACACAAATGGCCAACAGATATATGAAAAAATGCTCAATATCACTAATCATCAGAGAAAGGCAAATCAAAACCACAATGACATATCATCTTATCCCAGCCCAGTTAGAATGGCTTTTATCAAAATGACAGGAAATAACAGATGCCCGTGAGTATATGGAGAAAGGAGAACTCTTGTAGATTGTTTAGAGGAATGTAAATTAATTAGTATAGCCCCTATAGAAACTGCATGGAGGTTCTCCCAAAAACTAAAACTACCATATGATCCAGCAATCCCATCACTGGGCATATATCCAAGAGAAAGAAAATCAGTATATCAAAGAGATGTCCGCACAACCATGTTTACTGCAGTACTATTTACAATATCCAAAACATGAGATCAACTCAAGTGTCCACGAATGGATGAATGGATACAGAAAATGTGGTATTCAGTCATCAAAAATGAAATTTTGTCATTTTCAGCCATATGGATGGAACTGGAGGTCATTATGTTCAAATAATCATTATGTAAAACAATGTCATTATGTAAAATAATCCAAGCACAGAAAGACAAATAACGCATGTTCTCACTTATACCTGGGAGCTTAAAAAGTGGATATCATGATGATAGAGAATAGAGTGGTGGTTACCAGAGGCGGGAAAGAGTTGGGTGTGAGGGGTGGGTGAACAGAGGTTGGTTAATGGGTGCAAACATACACTTAGAAGAAGAAAGAACTGGAGTTTGATAGATCAGTAGGGATAGTATAGTTAACATTAAGTGTGCATTTCAAAAGAGCTAGAAGAGAATAATTGGAATGTTCCCAGCGTAAAGAAAAGAAATATTTAAGGTGGCAGATATCCAAATTATTTTGATTTGGTTATATAAATGTGTCAAATGGTCACATGTATCTCAAAAGTATGTACAACTATTATGTATCAACAAAAATAAATTAATTAAAAAACAAAAAAGAATTAGACTAGATCAGCCTAGTGCCGTGGTTGCCAAAGTTCAGTCCCCAGGCCAGCAGCACCGGCTTCCCCTGGGAACTCATGAGAAACCCAGCTTCTCAGCCCCACCTGAAGCTCAGGGGGTGGGCCTAGCATCTGTGTTTCAACAAGCCCCCAGGTGAAGCTGATGTGCCTCACGTTTGAGAACCGCTGGTTGGGTTGAAGCAGGGCTGTAGGAAATAGACTCCCACTGGCTTGACCTTCCTTTGGGAACAGCTGGGGAGAACCTCCGCCCTGGTCAGCTGGAGCCTCGGTTGTTGCTTGTGCACCCCATCTTGTTGATCTGGTTGCACTGTTGACCTTGGACACAATACTCCGGCTCAAGTGTTTCTGGTCACTCTCACATTCACAGTGACTTTTTAATGCGTGTGGGTGGAAGGTGAGGCAGTGCTGACCAGGTGAGGGCAGCCACAGTCTGTGGCCCTCTTCGGATTCCCCCCGCCCCTGTCCCTTGACCATCCCAGCTGCCTGGAAAGGACCAGATACATTGTGGGTAGGAGGGGGGTAAGTGACTGAGCAGGTGTCAAGCGCACAGAACTTTTCTCTCCTCATCCCTCCTAGAATGTCCATATCCTCATCCTGGAACCTCTGAATATGTTAGTTTAGATTCAGAAGGAATTTTATAGGTGTGATTAAATTAAGGATCTTGAGATGGGGGTTATCTTGGGTTATCCAGGGAACCCAGTGTAGTCACAGGGATCCTTGTAAGGGGAGAGACAGGAAGAGGCTGCACTGCGGGCTCTCGACAGGCTGATGGCGGCACCAGATGGGGAGCAGTGATGTGCCCTAGACTCTGTGATGTGCACTGTAGACTCTTACCCGTAAGAGAACTGCAAGAGGATAAATGTGTGTTGTTTTAAAGCACTGAGCTTATGATATTTTGAATAAATGTGCATTTATTCACATTTATAATAAAAAACGGTCAAATAAACATGTGTTGCTTAAGGGCACTGAGTTTGTGGTATTTTGTTCCAGCAGCAACAGGAGACCAACGCACGGTCTTTCTGGACTTTTAAGGAACCTGCTTAGTTTCTTCCCAAGTCAGAGGCTTCACACATGCTGCCCCCATGGCCCAAGCCACCCTCTCTTCCCTCCCCACCTGCCCCTTCAGCTGGGTAATCTCCCTCAGCTCTCTGGCCTTGACCTACCTGATTCTCCTTGGCCCTACCTAGACAGGCCAGGTCTTCATTCATCACCCGTCAACCCCTGCCCGTTGACATCCTTTACCTTCGCACAAGCTTGTCCAACCCTCCGCCTGCAGGCTGAATGTGGCCCAGCATAAATTTGTAAACTTACTTAAAACTTTATGGTATTTTTTGCTATATATTTTCAGCTCATCAGCTATCATTAGTGTAAGTTTTTTGTTGTTGTTGTTGTTGTTGGGATGGAGTCTCACTCTGGCGCCCAGGCTGGAGTGCAGTGGCACCATCCCAGCTCACCGCAACCTCCGCCTCCCGGATTCAAGCGATTCTGCGGCCTCAGCCTCCCGAGTAGCTGGAATTACAGGCATGAATCACTGTGCCCAGCTCATTTTTGTATTTTTAATAGAGACAGTATTTCACTGTGTTGGACAGGCTAGTCGCAAACTCCTGACCTCAGGTGATCCACCCGTATAGGTCTCCCAAAGTGCTGGAATTACAGGCATGAGCCACTGTGTCTGGCCAGTGTTCATTTTTTTTATGTGTGTCCCAAGACAATTCTTCCAATGTAACCCAGGGAATCCAAAAGATTGGACACCCCTGCTTAGCATATCCTGGGTCTCCCTCACTCCCCGCAATCCCTCACTGTCCCCCAGGGCCTCCAGCTGCAGCAGCTCTCTGTCCTGCAGCCATTTACTTCATGCTCCTCCCTGACTGCTGGACTGAGGCTCTGTGAGGTCAGGGCCAGGCCCAGATATGGCTCAATGGACGCTCAATAGAATGGCTGGATGTTGGAGGTGTGAGGACAGCCAGCTCCACTTTACCCCACAGCTGTCTCCTGAGGCAGCCTTTCTGTACCCCCTGGCTCCTCCTCCTGTCATTCATTCATTCAACTCATTCGTTCAACTCCTGTCAATCACTCATCCAACAAACATTTATAGAGCACTAACCTGTGCCAGGCTCTGACTTTCAGTCATGATGGAAGACAGCGTAAGGAAGGAACTTAGTAGGTGCCAAAGTGACCCTAAGGTAGGTGGCCTGAGGCCAGCAGGTGTCCTGTGAAAACAATGGCGAAGACTCAGGTTCCCAAACTGGGAGTCATATTACTGGTCTGCAGTACAAAATCACTGACAAAACACACCTGTGCCCATGAGCCAAGCATGCAGAGGGCCAAAGGTGTCTGCTGGCATTTCTTCAAAGAGGAAGTTTTGTGCAAGCACTGAGCATGCGCACTTGTGGACCCCTGTCCTAGGCGAGGACCATGCCTGAGCTCTTCTGCTAGGAGATCCACTCTCTCTCCCAAATCACTCACCAGAGGCTCTGCCCTCTGCCCAGGCTCATAAAGATTTGAGAGCTCAGCCAGGTGCAGTGGCTCACGCCTGTAATCCCAGAACTTTGGGAGGCCGAGGCAGGGGGATCACGAGGTCAGGAGTTCCAGACCAGCATGACCAATATGGTGAAACCTCGTCTCTACTAAAAATACAAAAATTAGCCCGGCGCAGTAGGGCGCACCTGTAGTCCCAGCTACTCAGGAGGCTGAGGCAGAAGAATCACTTGAACCCGGGAGGCGAAGGTTGCAGTGAGCCGAGATCATGCCACAGCACTCCAGCCTGGGCAACAGAGCGAGACTCCATCTCAAGAAAAAAGCAAACAAACAAACAAAAGAAAAGATTTGCGAGCTCAGAGACAGAGGAAACGCCATGTGTCTTCCCCTTCTGAGTCCCACGGGGCCAGAGCATGGCTTCCTCTGCCTTGGCAATGACAGACAAGCTGGGGTCCTTCCCCATCGCCAGCTCTGCAGCACTGCCCTCCTGGGAACCACATTCGGTCATTCTGTGGAGTTTTCACGATGGGTTTCATCGTCAGATTCGTTTCCTCCATGGGACTAGACTCTTCAGCAAGTCACATTACCTCTCCGGACCTCAGCTTCCCCTCCTGTGAAACAACAGGGTGGAACTTAAGGGCCCTTCCTGTTTTCTCTGACAGTCTGAATCTGTCTTGTGCATGTACATAGCCCAGCAATCGTGTCAAAGAGCTTTAATTGTGGGATGGAAAGAAAGGAACCTGTGGGATTTGAGGAGGGGACAGGTACCGCCAAATGCAGATGATTATTCTGAGGGCATCCTTGACAGGCCAGATACTGTACTCTGAGTTTATCTGCAGCCGTTTGTTGTCTGGCAAGTCCAGGGATGCTGTGGGTCTCCAGTTGGTTCTATCTGAGCTGCTACTGGGGTGGCAGCTCTCAGAAGTGTGGGACAGGATGCAGGCGATGGGGAGGGACCGGAATCGCATATTCCCTGCAGGACATAGCGCACGACGGTGGTCTGGGGTAGGATGAAGTGTACGTGCTCTGCTTCAGGCCAGCCTTGGGTGCGAGCCATCTCTGCTTAAGTTGTTCATAGAGTCCATAGTTTGTAGGGGGAGCTGCAAGAGAAACCAGGGTCCCGTTGAATGGGGCTTAGAGAAGGAGTCTTGCTCTAAATGGCCACGAGACTGGGCAGCAGGGGCGCTGGAGATTTTCCCAGGCTGCTCTGTCAGGCACCAAGGCCAGCAGAGCCCCAGAGGGAAGAAGCCTTGCAGAGAGCATTGGTTCAGTCAGCCCCTGGCGGTCTCAAGGTGCACCTGGCATCCCAAGTGCTCAGGGGAGACCAGGCTCTGCCACGGGGGCCCTGGAGAAGTCAGCCCCCATGGTGAGGTTGTGCGTGGCCTCGCTGGTCCTGAGTAATTGTCCCACCCCTGTCGGGAAGGAAGCTGTGTGCATGGAGAGTGATGTTGAGAAGAATCCCATGCAAAAGTAATGCAGAGTGACCAGCAGCTCATCCTCTGACCTATGTCCCTTTGCATCAAAAGGTAGGACCACAAAGAGATGGCACTGCTTTGTGTCCTCATTAGGGTGGACGTGGCTTGAAATACAAATCAGATCAAGGCACTCTCCTGCAAAAATGCATTCCAGGTCTTGGGATTGTGGGTAGGACAAATTTCATTCCTTTCACTGTTCCCTGTGAGCCCCTACATGGCCCTCCTCCATTCCTGCCGTAGACCTTTTTCACTTTCTGTTCCTTTCTCTGGAATGCCCTCCCTATCGATCCCTGTATGGCTCCCTTCTTCCCAACTCAACTATCTCCTCAACAAAGACCATCCGTCACTTTTCCAAGGAGGAATGTGTGAACCAAATTCACCACCTCACCTTCTATCCATTACCTGTTTTCTCTCCATAGCACACATTCCTGTCTAAATTTATCTATGTGATCATAAGTGTTCTTACTTTTTAGTGGTGTCTTATCTGTTTCCCCACTGGAATGTCAACTCCCCGAGGCCAGAAATTCCTCAGTGTTTGCTACCATTGCAGCAAGGAGCACTACCTGGGAAATATTGTCACTATTCATGTAGTAAATAGGACTGGGAGGAAGGATGTGTGGATGCGCTCCCTGCCACCTGTGCTCTAAGCATGCCATCATGGGGCACAGGTGATGGCTTCATTACACAGCCAAGATTATCCCGTATCAAGGGGAGAGCACAGGAGGCAGCCTGAGGGGACAATAGGACTCAGCCCCGACTGTGTCATCCACTGCTCTCCTGGAGCCAGGGTCACCTGTGAGGCTCCTTCTGCATAAGGCAGGTATAGCTGTATTGGTCTGTGCACCTTTACAGACCAAGTCAGAGGAAAACCCCGAATTATAAAAATACCAAGAAGGGGGAAGTCAGACTTCTCTGGCAGCCACAGCAACTTCTGTCCATTCCAGGTGCGGAGCGGAGGCAGCCCCGGATTGTAACCATGCCGGTTGTAATGGTCGTCATAGGTGCTGATCAGGTAGCGATGTGGGGGTTCCTGGTGGTGGGTGATCAGGTGTTTGTAGGGGAGCCCCTGGAAGGACAGACACAGTGGGCTCATTACTGATAGGAGCAAGGCATCCGCCTGGCCATGGTGGAGACAGGAGCTGCCACATGTAGGGGTCTTTAGCGCTAATGGAGAGAGTGGGCATCCATGGGCTGGCAAAAGGTCTTCAGAAACACACTTGTTTATCCCACTCTGAGGCATCCCACTTTCAAACACATCCCAGCTAGCTGCAGTCAGTTCTCTGTATGGCCGGTCCCATGCCAAGTCAATTCATTCCTAGAATGAGCTACATTGGCACATTAAAATGAAAGCCAGGACATCCTGCTGAATGGGAAGAGTCAGTACCACCTCACTTGTGATCTGAAATTGCAGCCTATTTGTCTCAAGTCTCATGCATCCAAGCCTGTTCCTAAGGGCAAGGAAAAGATGGTGAAAGCCAGCCTGACGTGTGTGCCTTATATTTCAGTCTGTTACTGTGGGAAGAATCAGAGAACACCCTATAAATTATCTTCTCTTGCACACGCTTTACTGCTCGCTCAGTTGGAAACTAGGGGAGTGAATTCTTTGGTGAGGAGTAATTTACAGGGAGAAGAAAGCCATGTTCTCCTTTCTTTGGGATGCCTGCCTGATTCAGTGCTTTTCCTAAGAAAATCCTCTTGGGCCCAGAAGGGAATCCTGGGGAACTGCACTGATTTACAAGGGGGGATAATGTTGATTTCCATGCTTGTCCTCTTGTCTGGAGCAGACAGGGAGGCCTGTGTCTGCTATGGTCTGGAAATGCCAGCTGCACCCAATATTTCAAGTGGTGGTCCCATAAATAAGTCAGATCACAATGCCAGAGGAAGACAAGGGGGGTGGGCACAGACATTAAGCAGGATTCCCAAGATCCACATCGCCAGGTACCCCATAGTGTATTTCCAGTGCCGAAGTGACTTGGAGGGTTTCCCATCAACAGAGGGAAGTGCAGAAGCAGCCTCGTGGCTTGGGAGGGAGAGACGCCAGGAGGAATTTTCTCGCAGTTTCTCTTGATTTGGGGTGTGGTCCTGCTGTCTTTATTGTGTGCCTGGGATTTTTCCTTATTTGGGAAAGTGACAGACACAGAGACAACTACCTTTGAAAGAAGAGCTTGTTACTTACAGTTCTCAAGAGGAAGAGTACGCCACGCCCTGCAGGGCCACATAAGGAAGCACCAGTGTTGGTCGTTGGTCGGGAGGCGGAAGGAACGAGTGGGGAGCAGGGCCCAGAGCCTTTACTGTGGTTTCCATGGGAACCATCGGGTGAGGCAGGGTGGACAAGTTTAGGACTGGATGTGTGAATAGTCTGTGGGCTCTGGGCCCTAGAGGTGGTCTCTAGTGTCCACTACTTGGCTCTGGGGTGATTTAAGGCAGAGGAAACATTGGCTTGGTGCGTGAGAATCAGATAAAGGAGGCGGCTGGGGATACGGGCCTTGGAATAGTTTTTGACTAAGAAGGAAGAGCAAAGTGGGAGTGGAGAGTGGGAGATGGAGAAGGAAGCTGTCCTAGGAGAAGGAGGGCACCATGAAGCAAACAGAAGAGCTGACAGAGTTGAAGCAGCCGTGTGGTAGCAGGGTTATGTTCAGAGCCCCATCCCACAAGCAGGGAATTTGAACAGAAACATTACAAATAAGTATTCAGGAGTGAGCACAGTGGCTCACGCCTGTAATCCCAGCACTTTGGGAGGCCAAGGTGGGCAGATCACTTGAGACCGGGAATTCAGGACCAGCCTGAGCAACATGGCAAAACCCTGTCTCTACTAAAAATGCAAAAAAAAATTAGCTGGGTGTGATGGTACACACCTGTAATCCCAGCTACTCGGGAGGCTGAGGCAGGAGAATTGTTCCAACCCAGGAGGCCGAGGTTGCAGTGAGCCAAGATTGAACCACTGCACTGTAGCCTGGGTGACAGAGCGAGACTCTGTCTCAAAAAAACCAGCAAGCTGATGCTCTGGGGCTGCTGCAAGCTTCACCGGTCTGGGCACCAAAGACTCAAGTGAATTTTACTAAGACCAGGTCCAGAAGTTCGAGAGCCGAGATCGGGCGCTCTCGTCTCCCCACTCTCCTGTGTGTGAGGTATTGACCCTAGTTCTCGTACGTTGTAGGCGGTTTAGCTAAGCTTTCCCCTTACAGACTTTGGCCCAATTACAAGCGCTGGACCAAGAGTTAACTCTCTGGTTTTAACTTAAGCCCAGCCCCTACACCCTGCTTGTCCTCTCATAGGCAGAGACAACTGAATATTACCTTTCTTCTTTTCTTTTTTCTTTTCTTTTCTTTTTCTTTTTCTTTTCTTTTCTTTCTTCTCTTCTCTCTCTTTTTTTCTTTTCTTTTTTCTTCT